GGTATTCAGCCTTTTTCGATGTTTTACTCTTTTATTGCTTTACGAATCAGTCATAATCAACAAAATTCAGCTTTTTTGTTAAAACATAGTCTTTAGTGTTAAAGTGAAATCAAAATTTTACAAAATAATGACACCTAAATAAAAATATATAACAGAATAAGTGACTGCATAACAGTCACGCCATTGAATCAGTATTTAGCAGATGCACCTTAAACAGTACAGAGTCTGTGTGGATGAGTCTCAATGAGGCTGCACATCCGGACGCTGCAATGTTACTTCATTTTTCCTTGCAAAACTGTTCAAACTCCTTCAGGTTGCCTGGAGATTGGCAACCTGAAGGAGTCCAGCCACAAATTCTATGAGACTGAGGTCTTGGCTTTGACAGAACATCCACCTTGTTGTCTTCAAACAATTTCTGTGTAGCTTTAAAAGGATGCTTCAGTTCTTTGTCTTGCTGGAAAATAAATTTAGCCTTCTTGCAGACGTAAATACATTGTATGCCAGGATTTTCTGATATTTTGCTGCATTTATTTACTCTTTTACCTATCATGATCCATTCTTGACTGTGGGGATGATGTGCAGTCTTTGGTGTCCACCAAATATAGCATATTGTGTGATGGCCTGAAAACTCAATTTTGGTTCAATCTGACCACAAAACCTTCTTACACTTGACCCTGGAGTCCCTCAAACTCTAGCCAAGATTTTATCATTTTTATCAACCTGGCAACAGTTGTTGTCTGCAGAGTCTCTCCCATCTCGCTGAAGCTTGTAAACTCCTTCAGCATAGTCAGAATTTAGAAGTTGCGTGACATGACATGTAATCCACTTTTCAAAATGCGATTGATAAGAGAGCCTGATAGGCAAAAATGGTAGATGGTCATTTTTAAGTGTTAATTCTTATGTGTCCAGAAAAACTCCTGGAATAGGACTATTATGATGTAAGAAAAAATTTACACATTTTAATAAACTACAAGTTAGAATTAGAGGTTAGATGATATAATAAACAATTTATTCTTAAGCTTTTTGTACTTCTTTAAAGAGGAGGGAATGATTGTAGTTGTAATCGTATCGAACGTTTTCTTTCTCACAAGGATAGATTTGATGCAATCAAAACTCATAAATCACTTAGCAGTTGAAATTATAACAAGGGAATTTAACTGTGTTGTTTTTTGACTAAGATTGAAACGCTCTGTATGCTTCTGGAAAGGAGTTGGAACTGTTTATCTCAGAAAGTGCCTTGATGTAACATTTGTTTTGAATTTACCACTGTATAGATGAATTACATTGAATTGAACTAAATTGAGCGAAATCTAAAAGCACTGACCTCTCTTTCCATCACAGGAAGTTGTTGGAGGGATGATGGACTTGGAGCCACGACGCTGGAGAAAGCTTATCAGAGAAAATTTTGATGATCAGAGAAAAAAAGTCCTGCAGTTTGCACAGTGGTGGAAACCATATGACTGTACCAAGACTGAGGTCTAGCTGCAGCACACAGCTCTACCTGGATGTTAGGAATTTAATTGTGCAATGTAATACATTTTTACTTAAATAAAAGAAAATCAAATGACTTTAAACGTTGTGTTTTTGTGATTTTGATAAGATATGACCAACTAAAGATGGCTTCTCTGTGTCATAAATCTTATTCACAGTCTGCTGCTCCCCACTCTCCATTCGATAAGTTTAATTTCTTACTTTCTGGTCTTATCCTCTCCACATCTGTCACTTAATAATGTGAGGCTTAAGTGTCATCCCTGAAATTTGCGCAGGGATATCGACAAGCATTTGTCTCCACCTCACACCTTTTCTCCGGGGCAATCTGAAACGATGACCTTACATACAACCTCATCATCTTTTTTTATTTTTCAATTTGAGCAAAGATATTAGCTCTTTGATTAGTTCACAACTTCAGAGGCTGATCTTATTTCTAGGTTTAATCTTGGACTCCCATTTGATGCATGGATGCAGCTGACTGTTGGTGAATTGGTGTGAATGATGGAAGAGGATTACATGCAGACCTGTGTGGTTATAAAATATGTTGACTGTGACTTCCACTTTCCAATCTTTTTTGAAATAATTAAAAATAAAATTATTTTGTGCTGATGTCAATGTTATTTTCAGTCCTATAAACTTTTCTGTCTTTTTTTGTTGTCCTATTTTGTTTTCCTCTTGTCAGCTTGTGTTTTCAAAGGTCAGAACCCTTCCAGCAAATGTCTTTGTGGAAAGGTTGCCATTTTGCAGAAAAACAGTCTCTTGCAATTTCTGCCTTTTTAACCCTGCTTGTGCTTCAGACACTGTCCTGTGGACAAGCAATGTAGGTTATTTATATGACACAAGTACTGTAGGGGATGCAGGTTCATGGTTAATAACAACAGAATGGTGTGAAGTGATGTACGCTGATGGCCAATTAGATTGGCTGGGGGAGGATTTATGACAGAGTCAGCCATTCGTCTTTTTCTGTCTGCATCTCTGACTCTCTCGCGCTCACACGTCCTTTTTTCTGTTGACCCTGGCATTAAGCTGTAAGGCCAACAAGTACTTTGTGCTTTCACTCTTAATATCTGCAGTTTGAAGTCTTTCTGCCTTGTTTGTGTGCGTTCACGCCAGCCGTCAACAGGCACGTCGATTTCTCTTGTTGACAGTTGATGAGGACTTGTAACTTCACTCTAACATATATATTTTTTATTAGTGAGCATTTAATTTGATTAATGACCTTGTGGAAAATCATGACGGAAATATGCACGAAACAACCACAAAATATGTGGTCTGTCACAGGGGAAATTGCTTGTTTATATTATATGAAATTGTTTTGTTTAGCTTAAGATTTAATATCTCAATGACCAGATACACACACACAATTTCCTGCTCTTAATTTTTATGAGCCTGATTACAGTACTGCTGTAATGCACTTCACCTGACGTTTCATTGAGACATGTTGGAGGGGTTTCTGGTGTGTACTCCCAGTTTCAAGTCACGACATATCAAACAGATTAAGATTTGGGCTTCGAGTCACCCCAGGGCTTCCCACTTCTTAATTTTCAGCTGGTGGATTTTCCGGCATTAGATCACCATGACATTCCAGGATCCAGTTCTGTTCTGGGCAAATCTTTTACAGATGGTCTCTGATATTACTCAAGCACCTTCTGATACATTGTACAATTCATCATGGTGTTTATGATGGTGAGCTGGCCTGGTCCCTCTGCAGCAAAGCATCCCACAGCAATACTTCCTTTTCTGTGCCTCATAATTCAGGTTCTTTTCCTGGTGCACTGTTTTCAGGCCCTCTATTCTGGTGTCATAATAATTACTTTTTCTTTTAGCTCATCTGAGCAAAGATCATTATTCCAATTGTCCTGAAAGCTTGTCTTTGTTTTGCCTGCTAGACTTCAGTTTGGCCTTCATGCTTTTCTTATGAAACATTTTCCCATTTAACACTTTTTATGAAAATTCTGCTTCTAGACTTGATTTCTTTGCGTTGCCGTGTTGCTGAAAATGTGCTATACAAATAAAATCACCGTACTTTACCTAAAAGTTTTCTGGGATCTTACAGACATGCACTTTCACATCAACAGCAGCAACAAACTGCTGTCGGTCTTATGCTGACTTTCTGGGGTGTTTTGGAGTTGCTTGGTGGTCTGTCACGGGAAAATTGCTTGTTTATATTATATGAAATATTCTGTCTTGTTTAGCTTAAGATTGAATATCTCAATGGCCTCATATGACAAGAACACACTGGATAAATGTAACATTCCTTGCAGGTTTACCAGTTTGACTGATGGTTGTTTTTTATGTTACATAAATTATCATTTTAACTTTCTGACTCGCAGCAAATTTATTTATTTTTTTTGTATTATGGTATTTAATTACATCCATGGATCCAGTTTTTCTTCAACTTTGACACAGTTCTTTTTAATTTACGCCAGTGAGACTCGGGGTTCAATTGCTTTATTCTGCATTTCTGTAAGTTATTAAAATTTGATGTCATCTATGATACAAGTGTCCAGAATGAAATTGCCACAATACACAGAGAACTGGCCTTTATATCCTGTTGCCCTGTCCGCACTCAGCTGTACATGGCTGCCAGCCAGCTTGAGACAGCCCCTTGTGCCTGTGGGCTTATCTTCCCTGGGACATTATTTATTCTATTCTACTCTTGGCTTTATTAAATGCCCACATTATTACTGGTGGACCGCAGACTGATTGCTGAGAGCAAGCAACTAGATAAGGGAAGAGAGGCAGGGTTAGTGCAGAGTGTGTGTGAGAGAAAGAGTGTGTGGGCGTTTGTTAGAGTGAATGTCTGCGCAGTGGATTGGGGTCATGTTGCTCCAGAGAGCCAAATTTATTAGTGGGAACCTTCAGAAAATTACACTGGGATGTATGTGTGACAACATGCATGCACTTGCATGATGCATCGTGTCTATTTCTGTATCTCTCTGTTGGTCCCTCAGGCCCACTAAATTAACAGACATGCTTTGCCAGTCGAGGTCAAGGTCGTGGCGGTTATTAGTGCCGGACAAGAGCATCTTTCTGTCTTCTGATAGGGGCCAAAAAGCCACTGCCGTCTCTATTAGCTGCCCATTTTCAATGCGTTTAACCCTAGAAGCATGTTCCCCGTAGTAAATTGATGCTTTTTATAAAGTGGGCAGGTAACTGTAGTCTCTTCGTTGCTGTATAATATATTAGTATATCAATTGTGGACAAGAAAAAGATGTCCCAGAGTAGGTGTGAGTTGGACAATGTATGAATTACCAAGAACAAAAGATGTTCAGCTTTAATACCATTTAAAAGCCCTTCAGACCCCATTTCCACTGGAAGGGATATTATATTTTTATGGACTTAAACCAATAATAATAACGATAAGATAGACCGATAAACAGAAGGTAGAAAGGTGGAAAACTTCAGGCTACTTCTTGTTGCCAGAAAGGTTCCATTTAATTTCTCCTTTCAGATTATCAAACATTTGTGATCTGAAAACAAAAAAAATAAACCCTTCAAATAAATAAATAAAGACAAACACAAAACATATCTTCGATTAGAAATACATTTTCACGAACGATCAAAATCGACCAAACCGTCGCTGTGCACTTCAGAGCGCGAGCGCGGCGCACGCGGCACTCGGCGATGCCTGTCGGACCGCGCGCGCTCTCCCGCTCATCTCTTCTTCGCGCAGCTCCAACTCCAGCTGTTCGTCCATCTACCTTCAGTCCGGGCGCGAGCGATGTTCCCACCCCGAAAAAACTAAACAAAACAAACAAACAACAACAACAACAACACGGGGCGATAAACGAGGAGGGACGCTGAAGGACAGGGAGAGGAGGACGGACAGGGGATGAGAGAGAAGACCAGCCAAAGAGGAGAGCCGCTGTCGCAGAGGAACAGGAGGAGGAGGAGAGAGGGAAGCAGACACATCTGCGGTGACTGGGGGGGTTCGGCTTATTGAGAGGGGGGGCCGGGATACGCGACATTCTTACGATGCCAGCATCTTTAGCCCGGGTAAGCGGAATAAATAATGTGCCGTGGGACTGCCGTACTGTCAGTTTCTTCGCATTTTAGTAATTTATACATTTTTTTAAAGCGCCTTTTTTATATATATATAAATAGACGCTTAAAAAACGGATGCTCGGAAGCTTTTCGTAATTCTCAGTAGATATCCTCCGTAGGGAGCTTTTGTCGCCGCTGGGAGCGGAGTGGATTGACTGAAGGGGGAGAGGAGGACTGCTTTTAAAAAAGAGACACCTTCTCCTCCTTACATAAATGTTTGCGTGCCGTTAGAGCGCGCCTGCTTTTCCCCACAACAGACGCGCATTCCACGCACACTGCCAGACGCGGACGTTGTCAGTCACACACGCCGTCCTGAAAACACGGACGGACCTCTCACCCACCCAGCCCCTCTCCTCACCCCACTGTCTGATGACTCCCCCGCGCACAGGTGGACGTGGTACGGAGCCTACTGTAGCATCATCTTCTTCAACACCACCACCTCCATCCTCCTCCTCCTCCTCAACACCACCATGTCCTCGTCGTCGCGCAAGATTTCATCCGAGTCATTTAGCAGCTCAGTGGGCTCGGACTGCGGGCTTGAAAGCCCCGGTGGAGACGGAGGCGACGGCGCTTTGGAGCCGGCCGACGAGAGCCGGGGTTGCCCGTTTTCCTCCTTCCCGTCGTCCCACAGAGCGCTGCTCTGGAACGGCCGCAGCCCCGCTGAGAGGACGGCGTGCCCGGCGGGCGAGGAGCAGCAGGGACCCTGTGTTCCCCACAAGAGGGCTACCAGGCGGCGGAGGGTGAACCTGGACTCGCTGGGGGAGAGCCTGAAGCGACTCACCTCACCGACGGTAAGCTTTTCAGCTCTTAACCTACATGTGTAGTCGCACTGTGTCACGGCTCATGGTGAGCGCCGGCTCAATGTTATTGTTATTTCTATGCAAAATACTCAAGGAAAATAAGAATTTGACATTTTTCTGAAGACAGCTAAAGATTATTTTTTCTTTTGGATAAATATGAAAAAAAGAAGAGTTAGTTTCCCCAAACATTTCCAATTAATTCTTGTCTCTTGTATAGTCCGTCCGTCCATCCATCCATCCATCCATCCATCCATCCATCCATCCATCCATCCATCCATCCATCCATCCATCCATCCATCCATCCATCCATCCATCCATCCATCCATCCATCCATCCATGTTTTGCATTATTTGTAGGTCCAGGAATGTAGAGCTATTCGGCGCATTTGGAACCCTGTTTTCATCAATGATATGATGTGCACTGTGCTGTCTATGAAAAAGCCCTCTTTTCTCCCTTCTGCTCTGCAAGCCTGAATCATCTGCCAGATTATATAATACTAAATATGTTGTTGTGAGGCAGAGTCAGAGATGCCCCGGCCTCTGTCTGTATATATTTAACTATGTGTGGATTGTGACAAATGAACCTGTGTTTGTTGGTGCATCTTCTATCTGTGCCACAGTTGTATTACAGGTAGTAATAAAGATACTATTACAACTGAGTGCCGTTGAGATAGATGATGTGTGATCAGGAAGTTTGCAGTTAGGTTATCATTGGTGCTTGGTAACCTTTCTTACCAAGCAGAAAGGTTTTTAAAACTTTCTGCCTTTTAAAACCAGAAAGTTAAAAAAAAAAAAAAACTATTAAGATGTGGGGAACATGGCTCTCCAAGGTTTTGGTAGAACATCATAATCTCTGAAACATTCACTCATTAAATGATACATTCATAATGAAAATTTTATTATACTGTACTATAACTGTTTTAACCTAGGGATGTATTGAGGCCATTCAAAAGTTTTAGATCTCAGAGTTGTGGAGATATTTTATTGCGTGTTTATTTTTGAACATTTAGCCATTATAAAAGAATGTTATCAATAATCTGATTGAGATTTATTTAGAAATTACATTGCACAGACTTTTTGTGACAAGTCGGCAGTGGTGTAAAATTAACAGGCAAAGGTTAGTTTTTACAACCTCAATTATTTGCCTCAGAGGTTTTTCTTGTTTTTCTTGTTTTGTTCATATATGCTGCAGATCATCAAATCAATTTCAATATTAGATGAAAAATAGAAAAGCAAAAAAGTTATTTCCAAATGATTATAATTTATTAACACAAAAGGGAAAGAAGGCTATCTCAACCAAACTGGTCCAATGTTGCCAACCTGTTTGGTTTTCAAGCAGATGAAATTAGTTTATAGATCTGCTGCACAAATGCAATAAAATTTTGGTCGGTGCTTTGATTAGGCCATTTGAGAAAACAAGTATAGTTCATCTTTAACAGATGTGAATCATTTATGTTGTTATTGATAGAGACAGCTGGATAGATATTATATCAGCTCATTTATAAATAAACCATTTGAACTTTCAATGGTTTCTGTGCAGTTTCACTAGGAGATAAGTTATTGAGATTTAGACTTCAATAGCAGTAGAGAGTTTTTATTTCACTGGGATGTTTTTCTCAAATTTACCAATTGTGAAAACAATTTGATAGATATTGTTCATTACCCTTACTTCTGCTGACAATGGTAGTAAATCTCCCTGCTCCTCCAGTTTGCAACTATGCTCAGCGCATGAGTCCCCGACCAGAGTATCTACTGGAGCTAAATATTGAAGTCAGACTTGCCTTTGACTTGTTTGTGGTGTCCATCACATGTGGGTGACATTGTATTTCTGTGTATAAATACATATATAAACAGGAAGACGGTTGTGTGTCACAGAGGAGGCTTCTTTCAAAGTTTTTGTTTCTGACTGGCATGTGATTTCGTGTATGACTCTTTGCAAAGATGTCACTAGGAACTCCATTCCTGGGGAATCAGAGTTTTATTGCTGCAGCTTACAGTCTGCACATTTGCTTTCAGAAGTCACTTCTTAGCACTAATTTTTCCAGGATCCTACCTCTGCTTCCTCTCTTATTTCTTCATATTCAAAAATCTTCCATTCCTGTGTTCTTCTCCTAGCACAGTTTTATATCCTATTATCATAACAGTACTTATCAATATGTTTGTTTAGTCTTGCCTTTCAATTGTACATGAAAGCAGTTACAATTGCTTTCATGTACTGTTTTCACTACATGACAGCAGTTTTTTTTTTTTAAGCAATTTTGTTTGCTCAAGAAAATTGGAGTCCTGGATACTGTAAAAGCATATCGACTGTGAAATAAAATCAAAATGCGACCTTCACTAAAGTGACATAAATTTGCTCTACAAAAAATGTGCGATGACAATCGGCAAAAACAAGTAAAAACAGCACACATAAATGAACCACATATTTCTACCAGAGGAGAAATGACAATAAAGATAACTTTAATATTCTAATAATTCATTTTCAATAAATGTTATAAATTATATGAAAAATTTTGGCTCGGTTCTTCTTCAGGCAAAGATAACAATTGCTTTGATTAATTATATATGAAATAATAAATTTTGATAGATGAGCAAATAGAGGTGCGATTCTCAACCTTCATCCTCAGGGCAGGCTGTCCTTTATGTGGTAGAAGTCTCTCTGCTCCAGCACACCTGATTAAAAGGATTGCATCACCTCCTCAGCACGGCATCAAGTGATGCATAAGCCTGTTAATCACCCATTCATTAAAGTCAGGTGTGTGACAGCAGGAAAACACTTAATACATGCTGGACAGTGGGTCCTGAAGTCCAGGGTTGAGAATCTTTGGTTTAATAAGTAACATTTAGAGGAGATGAGATCCCCCTAAGATAGACCTAACAATGTTCATGTCTTAAAGCTTCTAGCTCTATGAATACAATCTCAGTCTTACCAAGCAGCACTCAGTCTTTTCTTGACCTCTCTCTCTCACACATGCAAAGATGCCAGTCATGCAGACAAAATGCATATAGGAGTGCAAACAGGGGGCATGTTTACAGCAGCTCACTGTGACTGACAGGAAGAAGCAGGACCTCTGTTTGTCTGACCTCTGACCACACTGGACCAGCAGGAGCAACACACACGTGCACACACACTTACGGTCATTAGCAGCTACATAAACAGTCATTTCAGCTCTCTTTTCTCAGTTTCATGTTTGATTATAGTCATATATCTTTTTACTCATCAGGCTGATCACCTTTTGTATTTTTGTTTTAGAGCAGTAGTAGTACTGTAGTTTTTAGGGAAGAATGCATTTTGATCACAGTGTTTTAGCAGAGCACAATGATGCAGTATTGACAGTTTTTATTGAAATTGCAGTTTGTAAGATTTTTCTGCTTTCGGTTTCACTGTATTTTCTCTCTTAAATAACAGTTATTTACTTACACTATGTAAGAAAAAAAAACACTTAATTTTTCTCTCTCTCTATCTGACATTAAATCAGAATAACCTTTACCTGTTTCAATTCCTTTTGGAAACCATGTCTATTTGCTAAATGCCAGAATCCTCAGAAAGAGAGGAATTTCATCTGAGAATTTTTATTGCTTCTTGAAATTCAGACGTCTCAAAGCCTAACCAAATTAAAACAGACTAGATATCCAAACATGAAAAAAAAGGAAATGCTTTTTAGGCAGCGCACATAAATATGTGGTTCATTTATGTGTGCTGTTTTTACTTGTTTTTGCCGATTGTCATCGCACATTTTTTGTAGAGCAAATTTATGTCACTTTAGTGAAGGACGCATTTTGATTTTATTTCACAGTCGATATGCTTTTACAGTATCCAGGACTCCAATTTTCTTGAGCAAACAAAATTGCTTAAAAAAAAAAACTGCTGTCATGTAGTGAAAACAGTACATGAAAGCAATTGTAACTGCTTTCATGTTCAATTGAAAGGCAAGACTAAACAAACATATTGATAAGTACTGTTATGATAATAGGATTTATTTATAATCTGGTGCACAAACTTGGACAACATATAGAAGCTCAAAATGCCATAAAAAGCTCAAAAATGTATTTGTAGTTTTTAAATGGCAGAGGTTTATGATGCAGCATATTATACTGGTTTACTGTTTTGCTCTTTTTAGAGTAACACTGGTGGTCTGATAAGCGGACATTAGCTGGTTAATTATTCAAACTGTCTGCTGAAGAAGCCAGCCTGCAGTTGGGTTGCCAGCAGGAGTTGCAAAACAGTGTAATCTTTATATGAGTGATGAATGTGGCTCAATTAGTTTCTCCTACATGATTGTCCACATTTTTTGGATATTTCTGAATAGCAAAGATAGTGTTTTACACAAATAAATAAAGGAAGACTCAGTTGCGATGTTTGCCTGCCAGGTGGCTCATGTTTATCCTACTTGTCAAGAACATTGTTTATTGAAATCCGCGATACCGTAAAAGCTCCAAAGCTGTGTGTTTGTTGACCTTGTAAGCTTCTTACCAGTTTAAATCATTAATATTGTGTATTTGTTTCAACATGGATTTGATATGTCTGCGATTACAATTTTCAGTGAAAATGGCCTCAAAGTCAAGAATATAGTAAAGCAACCCATTCATTTTGTAGTTAGCTGGATCTGCTAGTGCTTTGATGATGATACTGTAACTTTCACATTTACACATGCTGTATTTTTCCATCCCTCTTCCTTTGGTAACTAAAAATAGGTTGTGGTTGATTTGCAGGGTGTTCATTAGTTAATATCTGTGAATATTATTTTGCTTTCATTTATAAACGCAAGTAGATTGTTTCTGTTTGTGATTTGACATTTCAGGGAAAACCAGAGTTGTGGTTAATGCCTAACATCTTAGAGTTAGGCTTTAGTGATTCCATATTTTCCCCATATTTTCCCTAGTGATGTATGAGGATGAAAAAAAGAGCTTAGTTTTGCAATTAGTTTTTTTTTTGTCAGATTGAAATGACAAAAGGAAATGTTAAATAAAAGACAGAATAGTAAAAACAAAAACGGCCAGCTTTCAAACAACTCCTGCATCAGGACTGTGGTAAACATAGTTTAAACTTTTTGATTATAGTAAGAAAGTTAGTTTCACTCACAAAGCTCTTTCAGTGTATCAGTGAAACCTGAACCTTGCTTATAGATGGGTTAAAAATGTTGGTGAAACTGGACATGCTTTGCAATTGACATTAATATGTTACACTGTTTTTACTGGTGAGCTCTATTGGACCTTTCTGCTGGACCAGATTCTACTTTATTTGGAAAGTCAAGGAAATTTCCAACTTTCCTAAAGCACTTTTATGGTTGACAATAACTGTTAATATAATGATTATAAATTTTAAGAAATAATGTGTTGTAGTTCGGTTTCCGAATTAATGACCAAGACAACGATGATCCAAAAATAACAAATCAATTTAAAACGTTGCTCTCAACTGAGCAATTTAATCCATGGCCTTAAAAGAGCCCTTTACAGGTCTTCTGTTCTATATCATCAGTAATTTTAATACCAGACAAAGAAAACTTGAGAAAATTGTTTATCATTGTTTCAGTTATTAAGGTAAATAAGTATCTAAACCATCCCGCCTGTGAGTTATGAAAGTCAGACCCATTGTTCTTTGCAGAATTAACAATTATTTGCGAAAGTGTGAGAAAAAAAGTAAAAACTTAAGAAATTCATAACAATGAAAGTAGTTTTTCCAGCACTGTATTTCATCAATCAATGTTCCTACAACCACTTATGAAATACAATAATATTATTGTAATAAAAGCAGGAAGGGAGTAACACATCTAGTTAGATGTGTGTCAATGCATTTGTTTCAATGAAAATCAGGGACACTGATAGGCAGAAAAAGCAGATTCTTTTTCTGCAGAGGAGAACATGACTAACCAACATTTCATATCAATAAAAAAGACAGCAACATTTTTCACATTATTCTTATTGTTGCTATAGGCAATGGAGTTAATAGAGGCCATTACTTTGAGCTCGTTAAGATTGTCTTGTATTCAGTTTGTAGTTTTGCACATTAATTTAAAGAGCAGAGATGCTACAGTGCAGACTAATAGTGATGCAAGAGAACAGTATGTTTGTGCAGCAGTTTTTTCTCACATGCACAAATTGTAGAATTCAACTTCATCAAGCATGCTGTCCACCTGGACTGTGGGTATGCAATAAAAAGTCTTTTCTGAGAAAAATTATCAATGTTTCTTTTCTTTTTTTAAATTTTTTTTACTTTGTGTCAGAAAGTGATGCATGTAAAGCAAATCAACATTTAGAAAAAAACTGTTCCTCTGCAGACAAGCTGTATCTTGTCTGTTAAGGTTTGTTGGGGTTATTTTTGGACCAAATTCTCCCATATCTTCTCTATTTTCATTCTGTCTCTCTCTCACAAACACACTAATGCGAACAAATGGACACAGACTCCAAAAATCTTTCCAGTATCTGACCAGAGTGGTTGGTGACCCCAGAATGACCTCTCCAGCTGGCACACTGTGTTCCAGTATTGTCACAACAGCCGTGCATTTCAGCCGTATCTCAGATAATCGTGTTGGACCCGCCCTCTAATGCTGTGACTGCCAGCAGCGCTAAACATGCCAGCTGCGTGCACAAGCTTTCAAGTGGTTTGTGTCTTATGGTCATTTGGAAATTTTCTGTACAAATATAAGGCAAAATATATAAAAAAAAAAAACACTTCAGAAAAGCATTTCCTATTATGGAAATTAATTAGATTTTTCTTTTAATCTGGCATTCAGGAGTGAAAATTGAATATGGATCTGGGTTTTTTTTATGTTGCTCAGAGCTTCACAGATATTAACAAAGGCTTGCTCATTAAAAAAAGCTTCAGAACAGAACTGCTAAATGGACTTTAGTCATGATTAATTTTGTTCGCACCTTTACTTCAATGTGACTTGTTAAAGTGTCCCTTGAGAAATGTACCCATTAAAAATGACTGTGTGAGGTGATGAGGGTTTTTTTGGGTGGCTTATGTGCATCACTTATATCAAGCTGAGAAGCCAAAAGAAGCACCAGGATGATAAATTAAGTAGAGATGGGACTCCATTAAAATTTGAGATTGAGGTTGACCCAAAATGCAGAAGAGGCATAGACAGGTGACGAAAAGTGAAAAACATTTAAGATGGCATTGCTACATAAAATCCACTTTTTTTATCCTTATTTTGTGCTATAAAGTGTTTCCTTCATCAAAAATATACTTGGAGTGTTTCTGTTTTATTGTTTTAATAATAATCAAAGTCCATGCAGCTTTGTAGGTAAGAGTTTATTTTAAAGAAAATCCAGAAATGGTGAATAGTGATGAAGAAGGCAATTGGTCTTCTGCTTAAGGATGGAGGATTTTCAACAGCATGTTGGGAACTTGCAAAATTGCTGTAGAACATGTACTAAACTTAAAGACATTCCAGATGTTTTACAAAGGATTACATTTTGGGTTAGAGAGATAATGATGCACTTTCTAGTCCTCTTTTAGTCAAAAATAATGGGTATACTCTGCTGTTAGAAACAGTTTGTGCCTTTAATGCATTGCTTGCGTAGCAGCACTTGCAAATGCCACGTCTTAAAAATCAGCTGCAATCCTTAATGTCTTTGAAAAGGGAGAAATGCACAAAATGGACCAGTTTTACAATTACATAAAAGATTAAAGAAAATCATTAAAGCTGTCCCCATCACACGTAAATAAAAATAAGTTTAATCATGTCATCTTTCTCTGCAGACACAGACTGTTCAGGAGGCTCTTCAACGAACTCTGCAGTTCTACCGACAACAAGAAATCAGGTATAAACTTTTAACCACATGCGGCTTTTTTCTCCTCAGGTATCCCCGTCGTTCACTTCCCATCTGATTCCTTGCACTTTTCGCACTTGTCTGTCACACGTCACACACCTGTTCGCTCAATTTTTTCACCGTCTCTACCACTTCTTGTTTGCTTTGCAGCCGCCACTTTTCCCTTTCTTGTTTTGCCCTCAGTCACACTTCCAAAGACATAGACAAACAGCTAGTCTCACTCCTTCACCTCTTGTTTGTGCCCTGTCAAAACAGCAAAGCTCAGTGGAGGGTTTTCAGCCAGGCACAACATTTACAGACAACCTTCACATGACACATGCTGCATAAAGATGCAGAAATGCTGCAGCTGGTCTTCTGTATCTCACACTCTGGCCTCAGTCGGTGTAACGTCTGTGCTTCGGAGCATCTTAATATGGAAAAACTAATACAGCGCCTTGAAAAAAGTGTTTAGCCCTTTACAAATTTATTTTGCTCTGGCTTTTTATGCCTTACGTAAGTTTGAGATCATCAGACAAATGTTAACATCAGGCACATATAAATGTGAGTGAAAACAAGAAGCAGTTGTCAAACAGAAGTTTCAATAATGAAGAGGAAAATCAACCCAAACCTACCTGACTGTATAAATTTATCCAGGTTGCCTTTGTCTAATGTTAACATTTGCTTGATGATCCAAAACATGTAAGTATGGCAGGAAAGCAAAACCAGATCAAATCCATAAGGGAGCAAATACTTTTTCACAACATTGTTTCTGCAACATTATATGTTTTATCTCTTTTACTAGTTTTTTGAAATTATAAGTGCATCCAAACACACACTTAATCCCAGCTCACAACCACCAGCAGAGGAACTACACCAGTACATTTACACAACGTGTGCATTTTGCATTATGTTTTTTTTCCTCCTCTTAGCTCTACCCAGATGTCACTCCAAATATATTCATCTTAGATGAGAGAAACTTAGCTTTTTATCAATTTCAGCGCCATGTTGGGTTTTCTTTTTTTTTTTTTTTCTTTACTGACTCCAAGATTTGATTATACATTTGCTTGTTGGCTTTGTGTGACTCACAGGTGCCAGGATGTTGGAGGTAGTGAAAGGCAGCGTGAAAAGAAAGAGGAAAAGTGCCCATTTCTTGAAAACTCTGGCTCAGAGGAAGATGTCCTACAGATTCTGCAGTACATGGCCACGATATTGGGTAGGCATGTGATGTGAGCAAAAAAAAACCCACTGTTTTGAGATTGACATTTAGAAATAAAGGATATAAAAAGATAGCTTTTATATAAATAACCTAACCTCATTTTGCTTACACACTTTTGCTCTACCTCTTGGTTGCTTTGAATTTAATATCTGTATGGTAAATTGGTGGGTGAGCACAACATGTACAATGTCCCCTCTCCATATACTTAAATTTATTATTTTCATTTGTTTGGTGACACACCAAAGCCCTTATCAGAGACCTTGCTGATATTATACATTGTAGCACATTTCATAAAAAAAGGAAATACTGGGTACTTTGACCTAAGAGGAGTAACTATTATGTTACTGTTTATGCATAGATGCACACATGTGCGTGCACTGAGACTATCTTTTACTCTCTGGGGAAGGTTGTTCTGTCTCTAAGGACCAACATGAAAATAACTCAAATTTATCTGTAGAGTAAAGCTTGGCTGTTTTAGGGGCCTCTAATTTACTTTGACCCCTAAATGAAAACAAACAGCTGGGTACCGAAATCGAATCTTTTTTAACTGATAAAAAATCTGGTGCATTTAAAATCCAGTGAATTGAAATCAAAGCAATTCATCAGCCACATGCTTTAATACAGTCATTTGTCTGGGATTGGTGACTTGTTTATCTGGGATCAATAACTTGCTTAGATGTCCAATAATTATCAAGATTCACTTTACAGATGGAGGCCGTCACATTCTTGGACTCGGCTGTACTATTCAAGATACATTTTTTAAACTGATACTGAAACAAATAGGCCGAAGCTTCTCCAATAGTGGCTTTAAAAATGCCCTTCTTATTGTGGATTTCTACTTCTTCTATTTGAAGTTAATCAGAGACAAAATGTTGTGCATTCATAACGTGGTTCTCATTGCTTCTCAAAATTTCAGAATACCTGTTCCATAGAGATAAAGTACACAGATTTTTTCTTTATGGAGTAGAAAAAAATGCACAAAACACTGATTTGAATTAGATCACAGTTGGAAAAAAGATGTACGTGTGGAGAGGGCCTCATCAAGCTTTTAGACCACCAACAAGTTTGGCAGTAAAATTAGTAAAATTCTGTGTAAGTTGCCCTGGCTTGTTGGCTCCCTCCCAGCTTCACCTTTTCTGATGAATGTCTGTCCTGACATTTACAACAAAGTGTCTTCTATGACCTGTACATATAATTTCTTAATTATTAAATAATTATTTTTGCATTACATTTTTTGTTTTCCAACATCTTTTTGCAGCAGTAAGCAATAAGACAAAAGCATCTTCCACCGATTTGTTTGTTTCTTTTAAAGCTGTTTCCAAAAATAGATCAATAAAGATAATTTCACATGTAAAACATTACACCATCACTTCCAAAATATATTTGACTTCAGTAGTCAATTATTTAAAATGCTGTTTCTTGTTAAACACTCTGCTCTAACACGATCCTTCTCTGTGTCAGTGAAGTAGGACTGACTCCTTTGCAGCGATTTAGCCGTAATTTTTTCTTTTGATACTATTTATTTTAGTCTACTTTGCAGCGTTTTAAAGGTCTCCAACATCTTACGTTTGAAAGTGACTGGAATCTGTTCATAGAAAGAAGTAAAGAAAGCCTTAGATGCACCTCAGCCTCCCTAAAACAGCGTTAATGTTGACATTTCTATATTTGATGCCAGTGTGCTATGATTCTGCATGATTATATCATTTTATATTAAAATTCATGTGTATTTTTCCTGTAATCCTTTAATCCTGTTTATTTCTGATGTTATTTAGTCAGTATGCACATGATCTTTTTATCCTATCAATATTCATTATTTTAGCAAAGCTTTGATGTTTGATTATGCTTGTGACTTTTTATGGTCGATTTGCTTAAAATAATTTTAATTTCATTCATTTCGGTGTAAACAAACAATTGAAAAGCTGAAACACCCAGGTTCATGGCAGATGCATAAGAGAAAACAAACATTGATTGATTTAGCATTTAATATACATGTTTTCTTATTTAAAATCTAATATATGTCACGTCACCCTTGAGTTTGTTTTGTGGTTTCCCTTGATTTTCTGTATGTGGGCGCTAAAGGTCATCTACGACATTAATTTGTGTGCAGAGTTCATTCTGCAGAGCCACCTTGCTGACGCTGACGTTTTGCATCCCTTTTCTCACAGGAGTTCCGTTCTGCGAACTGCGAGAGCATTTCGGCGAGGAGTTCTTTGGCCTTTGCTTCGAAGAGAATGAGCGAGTACTGCGGGCTGTAGGCGGCAACCTTCAGGATTTCTTCAATGGTTTTGACGCCATTTTAGAACACATTCGCACCTCCACAGGGCGCCGAGCCTCCTCCGAGAGCCCTTCCTTTCAGTGCAAGGATCCCCGCGAAGAGGAGAAAGGTAGAGGGAAATTGGAGAAACTTGGAAACCGTGGCAGCAGAGACGGAAGAGGGAAAGTGTTGTTTCTTCATTGCTTTAACCCTGCACCTGTTGTGGGATTAGTTATGCCAGGTTTGATTAGAGCGGTCGCCAGGCGGATCTTTCATTCAGAGATTGAAGTGGAAGAGGTGCCACCTCTGACTCCTCTGTTGCCAAATGAAGATACAGAACATACAGATTGTGATTCTACAACACCCACTCCCACTGCGTCCCCCACTGCCTCGCCCTCCTCATCTCCGTCCCCTCCGTCTCTTTTTCCAACCTCCGTCCCCACAGTTTGTCTATCCTTCTTACTTCAAGAAACTTGCCCTTCTCCTCTCTCTTCCATACCAAATTCAGCATCTGTGAGCACTAACCGTCCCCCACTCCAGCTATCAGCTAACCCCAGTGATCTTCGCATCTCCCTGGCTACGTTTTGCCGTGCCTTCCCGTTTCACCTGGTCCTGGGGCATCGGATGGAACTCCTGCAGCTCGGAGAAGGACTTAGGAAACAGGCTCGTATTGAGCCCCACCGGATCCTTTCATTTAGGGACTGTTTTGAGATTGTCTCACCCAAGATGAATCCCTCTTTCCAGGGCATACTGCTGAGACTCGCATCCCCATTTACTATCCGCACCAAGCCCGACCCCATGCAGGCTGGCACCAAGGAGAAGGTAAAGTCACCACTGTTAATCGCCACTGTTTTCAATAGTTAGGAATGATCCATATGCTGCAAAGTTGGGGCTCTTGCAATGTTTAAATTGTCTAACTTTAAGAGTTTCTTTCACTTGAACTAAGATTTAGGGTCAAAGTTCTGAAAAAGAGGCGTATGCCATAATCCCCTTTGGACTAAACTTTATGCTTTACACAGTGCAGTCTGCTTAGTGCCTTCTTGACTGACAGCATGTCTTCCATATTACCTGTATGAAATCTACTTAAGTTCAGATTTATAAATGTTTCTGCCGTATCATTAAGATGTTTAATTTATGGTAACCTATGTAGAGGGGATTTTTAATGTTTTCAGTGGTCACTTATACGACAAGTAGACATATTGTGGAAAATGATACAATAGGTAACTGAGTCATCTTCACTCCCAAAGACCAACAGAATTTAGATATTCTCATGCCGATGCAGCGTGTTCACTGACTGGTTTGCTTTTTTAGTGTAGTGCCAGACCAGCTGGTGACTGGTCAAGTCGGTCAAGTTAAAAACCAGATCCACTCATCAGTCAATTGATTGATCTATGCCAAGCAAAGTCCTTTATCTGACATTCTTCCTGTGCTTCAAGGGAAACACAGCTCTGCCTGCACACCACACTCTCAGGTCCATGTTCTGCACCCTTGGCAGAGGTTTCTCTTCACACTCTCTCTCATATTTCATGCTCTAAGAGTAAATCTTCACCTGAAACACCTTCTTTGTAAAAGAAATGTGTGAGCAGTAGCTGCGCCAAAAGTACAGAGCGTCTCAAGTATTCAAAGCAGCTATGCTGTCTGGAACCTAAGATATATGATTTCTGCTAAATGAAAACCCAGTGCACTTTTGATGACCAATGCTGTGGATAAGACGCTGTCACAAGCTTTCTGCTCCTCAAAGCCAAAAAATATGCCATCTCTGCACTGTTTTATCTGTCAGGTGAAACATTATCCTCAACTAAATATGCACAAGAAGGCCACACTTTGTTACAAATTTCTTCACCGAGTACATTTTGTCCTATGTCTTGCCAGATTTCAGCATCTGAAGAATGAATATCAGTATTTATGAAGTAAACAAAATGTAAGCACTGAGCTTCCAGAAATTGAGAAAAGTCTAACACCGCTTTGGGAGAGGTATCATCTGAATGAAATGTTATCATGACACTCTGGAAACCTGCAGATCTTTTTTCACAAGAGGAGTGAAGATTGAATTGCTTCCAATTTGCCTGAAAAACAAATCAATTGGAGCTTTGTGCTATATCCTGCTTTTTATCGATTGCTTGGTCTCTGCAGGATGTCTGTGACACAACCAAACACCTCGACACAGAACAGTACTGACAGAGAGGAGATGGATCGGTCTAGCTCTAGGGTTTGTTTTCCCCCTAAGTTAGATAGTAAGCTTCTCAATGCACAATATTTTTAACATCAACTCACACAATTTGCTGTGTGTGAATACTGTTATGTAGTGGTAGTCTTTCTGTGAGTTATATATTTTACGCCTCAGGTTTCATTTTTAAAAATCTGTTTTGACACATATAAAAGTCAAATGTGCTTAATATTAACAATCCTTCAGTTTGTACAAACAAAAGTATTCACACCCGTTAGACTTTATCACAATTTATAATGTTACAACATACCTATTTGCTTTTTATTAAGATCTTTGCTACAGACCAACACACAGCGATGCATGATTTGGAATTTTCTGTGGTGTTCATTTGTTTTCATTCCCCAATGGTCAAAACTTTGTAGAAACACTTTTCACTACTTTTGCCAACCTCTCTGTCCCTGTTGAAGAATAAATCCTTACATTGTGATGCTGGCACCGCCATTTTCACTGTGTGGGGGGGATTTCCTATCGATCTGCAGTGTTTTCAAATATAGTGTTTTGCTGTATGGCTAGAGCATCTTCTTTTGCATGTTTGTTGAACTCCCTTCATGCTTTGCAGCAAATTGTGAAAAGAAAATTGCAATTGGTTTTCTTTCTATTTCTAGATACCACAAAATAAAAAAAGTAACTCCTTAAGGCAAATAGTTACACAAGATTTTATTTAGTGTTTTCAAGTAAAGCGAGCTCCAGACAACTTCAAGTCACACTTTTCAAATTTTTACTTTGTAAAATTTTTTTAAAAACATGTAGCATTTTCTTTCCTTTGCACAGTTATGTGCGACTTGGTGTCGGTCACAGAAAATCACATCTTAGTACATTAAAGCTTGATTATGGCTGAAAGTGTATATAACCATATTAAGTGAATATTACAATGAATATTACAACTTATACATTCTCTTTGCCTTTATATTTCACACAGTCTGGACTCTGTTTGAAATGAAACTTGTGTGTTTGTGGAGCAGGAGGGCAAGGATAGCTTTCCGTATTCCTTTCACTGCGTGTCCTGTGTCACCTGGAATGGGAAGCAGAAGAAAAAAGAGATAGCGAGCCAGGATAGTTGGTTGACATTTTTAAGAGAAAGGGCAGAGAGAGAAAGCCACAGGCCGGGGGAAGGAGGCCACACTCCTCTTGCACAGCACTGGAAGTGTGTGTTTGAGTGACCTGTGGTGGCTTTTCAGTTTGACTTCTATCCTCTCTTCACCTGAAGATATTTGCTGTGCAGGAGGCATTTAGAGCCCCACAGAAAAGGGCAAATTGCATCTCTGGCTGTCTCTTTGCTCTTTGTGTGAACAGGGTGCCCACCACAGAAGGGAGGGTACAGAGGTTGGACAGTCTCCTCCAAGCTCTGCATGATATCGTGTGTCATTTTATTTTTCTCTTCACATCATATCTCAATAGTTTGTCAGGCATAAAAACTGTTTTTAGTATTTTAACATTTCTCTTTCACTTCCAGTCAACATTTAATTTTTTTGTAATCTCACCAAGACAGAATCAGTGAATCATAGAACACCTACATGGTGAGGATTTTCCTGCAGATATCTCAGCATTCTCAGGCTCTTTAGTGTCAAAGGGTCAATTGTCTGTCTAAGATGAGTCAGTTCAACTGCAAGTGAATAATGTGTCTGCGGTGACTGATGCTAGTAGGATTCTGCACTGATTTTTAGCTGCAGAGTACTAATTCTTCTCTTTTCCATAACATCATTAGCCCTATACTGTTCATGAACTCTATGAAATTCTTGTTTTATACAGTGTTGTGTTGTAAAAATATTTTATCTGCAATAGATTTCTTATATTTTAGTTATCATTTAAAGATTAAATCTTTAGGCCAAAGGACAAACAGTTCAGGTTTGGAATACCTACCTGCACTGATGTAGGGTTAGATGTGTGTAATGCTGCGTTATGCAATAACACCGCAATAAATAATACTGTAATAAGACATCATTAAAACTGCATTGTGTAACAATAGAAGTGAAATGCAATAAAATCCTTGAATGTATTTTGAATAATTTTGCCTTCAACAACATGTTGGTTAATACCAGGGGTTCTAGCTTTGAGTTTGAAAAGACAACTAAATGATTGTAAAGCCAGTATTTATTGACCAACCTATCAATTTAAATGCAAAAAGGTTCTATAACATGGTTGTTTTTATAAGCATTATAATTAGGATGAACACAAACAGTTTATTATTGTTTATTACATGATGCACCACATTATTACATTATCATTCCTAAAAAACAAGCTAACTCCACATTTCATAGTTATCAGTGGAAAATTTAATAATGTTATTACAAATGTGGCAAACAGTATTGCAAATGTGTTCAATGATTTTATTACAATTTGTGCTGGTTATTACATAATGTGGTTTTAATTGTTTTATTACATTTTGAAGCCAGATTTTATTACATTATCACATATTGTGACCTTATTACGTAATGTGGCATTACAAGGTGCACCAGATTTGATGAGAAAGACTTTCAACTAGAGTCTGACTTGGTGCAAAAAAATAGGACAAGAGCTGGACTTTCCCCCAAAGACTTGACTTAGAAATATAATTCAAGAATTTAGTTGAATAAAATCTATTGGGCAACATGAAGTGAGCTAAAAGATTCCAAAAAGCAAATGATTACCGTCTATCAGTCTTACATAAAGCTAATACAGGTTTGACACTAAACATGGTGGTTTTAATGTAAAGGTTTGATGTTACTTTGTTGTTTCAGGATCTAGATAACTTGAAGTTACATTTGCCTGGTGGTAAAAGTTGTGAACAGAAGCAAACAGAAGGCCAGGGCAAAGATATTTCAAAACTCTATATAATAGACTGTGAAGTAGAGAAACATTACTGAGTCTGCACTGTAACTGCTTTTATCTAACAAATGCAATTGTAGCCCTGAAAGAGGTTTGCTTGTTTGCGTCATCTCTGCACCTGCATGTCTCAGACAAAGAAAATGTTGATGTCAGCAGTGTCCATCTTTGATCTGAGGTAGATAAATTGCTACTGTTTGTTCAGGGCAGCAGGCTTTGAAAATTATTTCTCTCTTTCTGTTGTATTTAGCTGAAAACACAAGGAAACATGAGAAAAGTCAGAAGTACTACGAGAAGATATTATATCTGTTAATCACGTTAATATTATTAATTGCTGTCAACCGTATTGTTTTATTTCTCCTGGACCATGCACAGAAAAAATAAGCTTAAAGAAAGAATATATTGTTTTCAACTGATTTTCTTCTGCATTGAAGAACATCCAAGAAAGATCCATAAAAATGCAAAAAATAAAAAGAAATTTAAAAATCGAGAAAAGATTATGAAGCATGTGAAATGCCAGAAAATAAGCAAACACTTAACAATAGAATAGTCCAAAGCTACAAAAAGAGTATGAGGATGTGATGCATGTTTTTTTTCTTTAAAACTGGTGATGATAATGATGAGTTTCCATTAAACCAACATTCAAACAAAATACAATGCCAATTATAAATTAATTTCTTTGCATATTAATTTAATAAAAATCGCAGTCAAAATTCTTCTTCATGTAGAAACACAAGATTATTTTTTGGGGAACTCTTTTAGATTTAAATCAACACTTTGCAATTTGACATAG